ATATTTAAAGTAAATTCAGTGCCATGATAGTTGATATTTTGTTAAAAAATGAGGTTGGTGTCATTATAGTGATGTCTGATAAAATAAATTATAAATTAATTATTAAGCACCTACTCTGTGCTCCAAATTATGTGATATGGGATAGATGCCAAAAATGATGCTCCTCCTGGCAAAGAGGTACCAATTTCATGTTATAATGTTAAGGAAAAGGAGACTCGCTGGGAGGTGTGCATCTGCTGAAGAAAAGAAAAGGAAATTTTTGCTAAGTAATTCAAGAAGGTGTCAGAAACATTGGTCCATATAGCAGTCTTGTAATTAGAGATGAGGAAGCATCATGAGCAAAGACGCTCAGAATTCGGTGCTTTTTACCTTCCCACTGATGTTGGGGTGATGTTACAGAGAAATAGGATTTCAAGTTGAATAGCAGTAGGACCTTTTACAGCTGCAATCTCCAACCATTTTGGCACCAGGGACCGGTGCTCCTATGAGAATCTAATGCCTGATGATCTGAGGCAGAGCTGAGGCGATGATGCTAGAGTTGGGGAGGGGCTGCAAATAAAGATGAAGCTTCTCTCAGGGTGCCACTCACCTCCTGCTGTGCGTCCCAGTTATTAACAGGCCATGGACCAGTACTGGTCTGGCCTAGGGGTTGGGGACCCCTAGTTTACTGGGTACCTAGATGCCGTATAGAGGAATTAAGACTCTGTGAAATGTAACTGGGACACATTATAGATTCTAAGGCAAGAAAATGACATGATGAAATAGGAATTTCAAAATATTATTTTGGCAGTTGTAAGATTTCATGGATATGGCAGGGCTTGGAGTCAGGATGGTCTATGAGAATCTAATGCCTGATGATCTGAGGCAGAGCTGAGGCGATGATGCTAGAGTTGGGGAGGGGCTGCAAATAAAGATGAAGCTTCTCTCAGGGTGCCACTCACCTCCTGCTGTGCGTCCCAGTTATTAACAGGCCATGGACCAGTACTGGTCTGGCCTAGGGGTTGGGGACCCCTAGTTTACTGGGTACCTAGATGCCGTATAGAGGAATTAAGACTCTGTGAAATGTAACTGGGACACATTATAGATTCTAAGGCAAGAAAATGACATGATGAAATAGGAATTTCAAAATATTATTTTGGCAGTTGTAAGATTTCATGGATATGGCAGGGCTTGGAGTCAGGATGGTGAATACAACTGTATATCAGTTAAGCTTCTGGCAATTATACTATTTATATTATATACGTTATGGTGCTTCAACTAGTTCATAAACAGTTTCTCAGTCTTTTATTTTATTCCTACAGTCTAGTCTTGGTTAGTCTGGGTGTTATTTAGAACCCTAATTTAACTACGTCAGACATAGTTTCAATGGCATGAGGTAGTGAAAAGAAAAGAGAGCCCCTGATTCTGTTCTCATTTAGGCCACAACTAGCTGCAGACCCGTGGCTAGGTCACTTGATTTTTGGGGGGCAGAAAAATTACTTTTCCTCCTACCTTACCAAATTCTTCTGGCTGAAATAATGATCAAATTAACATGAGACAAATTAACAGGAAAAAATAGCCAAACTTATCTATGTACACATGAGGGTTTCATAAGAATATGAGACCCAGAGGACAGATGTGGAGTTAAGGTTTATAGCCATCTTGAGCTAACGAAAAGTGGGGGTTGTGGTTTGGGACTTCAAGGAGAAGGAAGGCAATTCACATGGAGGTGGAAAAGCAAATGTTTGGTAAGCAAATATTTCCTGGGTCATCTTTAACAATGGGACACAGAGAGGACTTTGATCAAAAGGACCTTGCTGGGTTCCGCCCTGTCTATTGCACACTAGTTCACATTAAACCATAGTTATCTATGATGATGGCTCACTTCCTGGAGCAGGTCTTCTATCTAAATTCCTTTAGGTAGTTAGAAGGAAGGTCAAAGGTTCTTTCTGAGTCTTTATTTCTTAAAAATAACGGGCTTAAAATAATCAATATCCCAAAAGGCATATTTTGGGGTGGCAAACCCTGCTTCCCCTCAATGTCCTTACACTTTACTTCCCTAATTTGGAAATAAGAACATTGACTCAGATGAGTTCTAAGACCTTTTAGGTTGAGCTTTCTGCCCACTAAAAGAGTTAATGGAAGCTTCTAAAATGTTCATCATATCTTTGAGCAGCTGAAGTATTGAGCATATATGTATTTATTTTTTACTTACTTTTCAGTTACTGTTGACATACAATACAATATTAGTTCGAGGTATACAGCATAGTGATTAGACATTTATATACCTTGGGAACTGATCACCCCGGTGAGTCTAGTATCCATCTGGCACCACATGTAGTTATTACAGTATTATTGACTGTAGTCCCTATGTTGTACTTTATATCTCTGAGACTATTTTTATAGCTGGCAATTTGTACTTCTTAATTCCTTGCATCTTTTTTACCCATCCCCCAACCTGAAGTACTGAGCATATATTTTAAAGCATACTAGGAAAAATACATCTTCAACACTTATAATTTGGTAGAATTTTCTACCATCCCATAAAATAGGTGTTAGGTTCATGATGATTACACTATATAGGCTATTATATTTTCCAAGAATGTGTTAAAATATAGAAGAAAATAGCAGAAAATTAACCCTTGTAAATGAACACAATGTGCTGACTGTATAATTTAAATGTTTTAAATAAAGCTACTTATTTGCATAATGATGCTTTGAAAGATATATCTTAAAAATAGCAATACTATTCATTGACTTGAAATTAAAACAAAAATAACAAGTGTAAATTAGTCTGGGAAGGATGTCATGTTACTATATAATTAGATGTATTAATAAACTTGGGGGCTATCACTTATTAAGCTAAATTTGGCACAGAAGTATATTTTAAGGTAATGAAACTATTTTCTATTTATATTTTGCAAGTGTTTATTGATTATCATCACTTTGGTAACCTTTATAATATGTATATGGTTATATAAGAGAGATGTTTAAAAATAAGTAATTCTCTAGTGTTAGTTGTCTAAACTGAAGTTTACATTTGATCACTGTAGGAAATGATTTGTAGGAAACATTGTGTGAAATATAACAGAACACCCGAACATTACAGATAAAAATTCCTAATGTCATAAGACTAAGCAAATTATTACAATGTCTAGACAGAGTCCAAAGACATGGTAGAAAATGAATAATTAATTGTATTTTTAGATCAAACAAAACATTTGATTTGTTTAAGCATCATTTAATTTTTCAAACCAACAAAATGATGCATAGCATAAAGTTTAGTTACTTGAAACAAAAATAAAAGAAAAAGGACTTTTTATCCTTTGGAGTATTTTCCCTTAGTCTATAAATGTTTATAAGACCCAGAAAATTATTTCTGATAATCTGGTCTAAGTAGCACTGTTATGTTATTATCTGAGATGTTCAGTAAAAATGCAAATTCCTGGGATTTTATGCCCACATAACAGGTCTGTGTGTATATCTATGAATCTGTATTTTAAACAAGTTCTTGGGGGAGTTTATTGTACATATTAAATGTAAGACCTACTCTTCTAAAAATAATCTTTATTCTTGCCCTACTGTTGGATGTTTTTACATGTCACTTGATGCTGGATATTGGAGAGCGGAATCCTGAATTTGAAGGTTGAAAGACAAGACTCTGCTTGAGTATCCAGAAAAAAATCGAAATAACCAGTTTTTTGTTACCCATAAGTAGGCTTTTCTATTCAGTTTCTCTTTGAAATTGAAAAGGATAATAAAATATGTCCCTTTCTATAATCAAACTCTATGAGTGTTCCATACATTTGTATTATATAAACCAAAATATTAGATAATAAAGTTTTTTTTTAATTTTCAAAACAGATTTTCCTAGAAAGATTTTTTTCCATAAGACATAATCATTTTATTTCCTCTGTAGGATCATCAAGTTTATCATCAAATTCTATAAAATTCATGATCTTTTTAAAATTATATTTAAAAACCTAAATATGTTTACATTAATTTTTTAGGAACCACAGCCTCTACTAATAAAACTGCGGTTTAGGTTGAAATTATTACCAGAAATTTTTTCAGAGTACGACTGTCTTTTACGTGGAGATATATATAGCGTTTTCACTTGCCTTTAATTAAGATAACTCTTTTCCTCTACTCCTAAATGTATTACAGACAAAAATATTAAATTCACAAATGGGGATGATCTTAAATTTGAAGCTAGTTACTAACAGTTACTGTTTGGTGACAGGAAGCATATCTTCTTATGTAAGTTTGTTATGACCCAAAGAGTTTTTTGCATATAGTGGGTTTCCAGTGACTTGTGAATCAATGTGTGCTAGTCAAATATTACGGGCTTGTGTGGTACTGAAGCAGAATAAAATTAGTATATTGGTCAGTTTCATGAGAATTAGTCTCTCGTAAATCAGAATTTTACATTTAGGAATCAAGGATTTATTGACTTCTGTGGCTTAATTTAATGATCATCTTTCACTCATGTCAGTTCAGGAGTCTGTTGAAAATTAAGTTGGTGTTCAATTCCTGATAATCAAATCTTCTCATTCCTTAGCTTCTTATTTGCACCATGGGGCTTATAAAATTAATAGAAAAATATTTGTCTTCAAATTTCTTTGTTCTTACCAATGATCTTTGTTTTTTTCCACTACTAGTTTTTAGACAATATCCTTTACTATATTAAAATTTGCATTTCAAAAAAGAAGGGATCTCTCATGCTTTGACAATCAAATTTTATCATGTGGTTTTGTAATGATGGTGAATTTCTGAATCAACAGTTTTCTCTCACTACCCTGTTCCCTGCTGCCATTTTCAGGATGTATCGATGACTGTTAAATTCAAAACTTTCTATCCAGCAAAATATTTAATCCCTAGGGGATTCTCAGAGCGCTAAAATTGATGGATCTGACTATGGTTAAGTCTAATAAGAATTGCTTTTACAATGAGGATGATTCATGGGAAGATAGAGTACTTATGTTTTTTTCTGTATCTTGTCTTTCTTCCTGACTCAACAGCTCCCCCCACGGTTCGTATTGTGCATTCAGGCTTGGCCTGTAACATCGAGGAGGAGCGCTACTCCGAAAGAGTCTACACTATACGCGAAGGAGAAACTCTAGAATTGACCTGTCTGGTCACTGGACATCCACGTCCACAGGTGAGCCCCGAACCGTGACGTTGGGGAAAACTCTCTTTGAAGTCAAAAGTGTATATTTTACAAGATTTAGCTAAAAATATTTGTGTGTATAAAATTCAAGTACATGTGTGTCATAATACAGCATAAGAGTGGTGGTTGCTGAACATTCAAGTCTGAAGTATTCATGTGGATAAGATAAAAAAAGAAATTTTTGTTTTGGTATTGTGAGACATTTGGAAGACACTTCTAAGGAAGCTGTTAAAAAGACAGCTACAAAAATATCTTAGTAAGATAACAATTTATGTGGCAATGAGTTTATTTTAGAATGTGAAACATGATTTCATGATGACATAATTGCAGCCGAGGAAGCATTTGTTCTGAAAAATGTGGTGCACGAGGTCACATGTACTTTCCTACACCTAGTTATTATATTCATAGACAACTTTGAAAAACAAATGTTTGCAGGTGTTCTATGCATTCAGACTCTCAGAGTCATGCACTACAGCTTTCATAAGCTAATTTAGTAGCAGGAACAGATATTAAGACTGTCAAAGGGCACAAAATTTATAAACAATGAGCAAAGAAGAAGCTTGTAGGAGTGAAAGAAAGGGTTAGATATAAGATAATATAGTTAGGTTATGTATCTATAATGTAAAAATTTAATTCAGATACAGAATATTCAGGGTGTTTTACTCATTAATTGCCAATTCTTACTGTCATATATTTAACCTGACTAGTTCAAAATATACATTGGTAATCAATACAAATGCTATGATGGAAAAGTCTCATTTGGTAGACAAAGCTACATATTTAACACGTATTTATGTTACAGGGAAAAAAAATCCAGCTAATACAACTACATAGGGGAAAGTAAAGAGCAATGTGATTTCCTGAACTCATCATTTTAACCTTGAGTTCTGTCCTTGCCTTCCTTAACTCTTAATACTCAAGGATATTTTGACTACCATTTCGACCTTGCAGAAAAATAAAAATAAGCATGTACTCTTCTCAGAATGAAGCAATAGATTGATAGACGAGCCTATACCTAAAACTAATATGGTAAAATGTGTTTTATAAAGCTAATACTGTTGGTAAAATGGAAAACAGTAAAAATAATCTAGAAAAAGTAATTATTAAAAATATTGAGGTTCACAATAGCTAAAATTTCAATTTATATCATTTGCTATCCATTGAAAATTGATTAAAGAACAAAATTGTTTTAATAAAACTGAGTTCTACAAAATTTTATCCAATATAATTAGACTAGGTAGAAAAAAAATGACTACAAAACTAAATGTATAGTTTAAAAGCAATAATTGTTAAAACTTGATATAGACAAAGAAACTGATATGTAAACATTTTTATTTTATAGTTTATGGAGAAAACAACGTAGTCCAGTGAAAATACTTTTGCTAAAATTAAAAATATATAGCATTAACTCAAAATATTATGTCAAAGAAAATTTAATGTTGTTATGATTTCATTATATTTTTGTATTTATTACATAGAATAAGAATTCCAGAATCAAAAAGTTGGGATCAAAACAAGAAAGTCTAAATAAACCTAAAAGAAGCCACAAATTGCTTTATGGGAGTCAGTCTATGGCAAGAGAAGACTCATTGATATCTCATTATTCCCACACTGACTGTGCCCAATTCTGCGCCTTCTCCTAAATTTTACTTAAAAAAATGCAACTTCTTATATCTGTTTTAAAGTCATCCCAGCAATTCTGCTCCCTTTATCTCTATCTTTATCTTCCCTTAATATTAGAATTTTTTTATTTTTATTTTCTCCATACATCTTTGATCTCTAGCCATCCTCAAATAAGTTCTGATACAAAGGAATAGATTATTGCCTTATATATTTTTTCCAAGTAGTTTTATTTTTGTAAACATTTCAATGTGTTCTGATCTTAAGAAAAATGTATTGTTTCGATATTATTATTTCTTCATTCCTAGAAATAGATCACGTGTTTGCAGGTGAATCAGTTTCAGCTCATATAGCTTTTTTGAAAAATTAATTGGGGCTCTTCTTTGTCAACAAACTGTATAAGGAAGGCTGACAGAACAGCTGGGCCTTGGCATCCTGACCAAACACCGAAGGACATGCTGTTGGCAGCTGGTCCTGAGGATGATTTTTCCTGGCTGATACCATGAAGCTGGAAAGATTTTTTCCAGCTTTGTCTAATCTGAATATAATAATAGTTGGAAGCTCAGTGGAAGAGAATGCCTCATTCACTCCGGGAGATTTATTAATCTTTTGCATATTCCTGTGATAATGAAAGTCAGGAGGATTTCCATTCTCAGAAATACTCTAAAGCAACATTTTTAAAATAAAATTTTAAAAATTTTATTTAAAATATATATTGTTTGGCAATGTGTAGTGGCCTGACAATACTGATGTATCCAAGGGAATTAAAATAAGTGAAGGAGATGTCACTGTAATGCAGTGTTGAGAGCATGACACTGGAACCGGAATGCCTGGATAGAACCCTGGATCCACCAGGACTACTACTGTGTCTTTGGGGAAGGTCCTTTACCTCTCTGCTCTCTGTGCCTCAGCTTTCCTACCTATGTGATGGGGATGATTCATCATCTCTATATCATAGACTCTTGTTGAGAGTTAAATGTGTATTAGAACTATATTTATACATATATTATGTACGTACACATACATTTATACATTCTTGGCACATAATAAGCATTATATTAACACATAATAAAACATGTTGGCTTTTTATTATTTTTAAGTAATTTCTGCTTAGACTAAATTTTAGAGTTGAATGTGTAGGTATGAAAATAAGGAGATTCAAAAAATAGTTCTAAGCATTCTTATAGCCTACTTTAAATTAGATTCATTTAAATAAATTTCAATATTTTTGTATTTTAATGCTTTGAAGAGCCTTTATATCTCTGTTAATTAGATTTTTTTCACTTGCAAGGACTAGAACTATGTTCAGATTGTCCATTTAATGAGAATTTATTATAAAAGTACATGGGGATGTAAGAAAGAAAGGAGATAACGGTTTGCCAGTAAATCTACCAATCTAACATTAGACGTCTATAATTTCAGGATTCGGTTACTCATTTTTCTTTTCATTTTCTACCTTCCTCTCTCTCTCCCTCTCTCCCTTCCTCTTTTCTCTCTCTGGCTCGATATTATCATACCAATAACAAATAAATTATAATATAGTCCTCTTATAAATGATTTTAAACAGTAAGGCATTTAACATGAATGTTTCCCTTCATTCTCTCACCCACCTCCCAGAGATAAATATTAAATAGTTTGAAATATTACTTTCTAGTCCTGTTCAGTGCATCTTCATAAATTTAATTATATATGTTCATGTTTCATTTTCATTATAAAAAAAAGACCATGAGAAGTATAGATTCAGCCTAGTGGTTTTCATTGTGTGATCCCTGTGGGGACTTTTTACATTCTATATAATTAAATTTAATATCTATTAAATATGTTACACATTTTACCTTTCAGTGTGTTGTCTTTTAATATTGTGTGTGTTATTTTTATTTAGAGGTTTTTGTTTTTAAAAGAGGAGTTATTTTATCTTTTTATTTGCGGCTTCTAAATTTTGTACCTCCGCCTTTTTCATATCAATACATCATACATTGTATGCTTGTTTTCTAATAGCTTATAGTTATCTATATATTTGATGATTGGGCACTGGTTTTGTCCATCAGATGAAATATTAGTCTAGTGTTTTATCTTCTCATTTTTTCACTCTGTCCTAATCTATCAAGATAGTCGACATTACACTTGATAGCTTTAAAATGGTATTTTTTTCCTTTTTTTTGAACTTGAGGTATAATTGACATATGACATTATTTTAGTTTCAAGTGTACAACATAATGATTCGATATTTGTGTATATGGCAAAGTAATTATCGCTGTAAGTCTAGTTAACATTTTTCAGCATACATAGTTACAAATTATTTCTCTTTTGATGAGAAAACTTTTAAAACTTTAATATTTTAAAATTTTATCACTAGCAAAATTGCATTATTCTATACTATCATTCTAGTTATGCCTTTTTTACCATGTTATGCTTTTTAATTTCTATAAGTTTACAATATATTTTGATATATAGGAAATCAAGTCGGTCTTTTCTCATTGTTTTTCAGTATTTCCTTAATTAGCCTCAAAATTTTTTCTCTTCTTTATGAATTTGAAAATGAGCTTTTTATATCCTCCACCTAAATAAATGTTAGGATTTTAATTACATTACATTGTTCTTAAAATGAGACTATGGGGTAGAAATAATGGCAGACTTTTACAAAGAACTTCTCAGTAGGCACTTTGATTATTTCAGACTACTCAGACAGGAAGCCAGCTTTATTGTAATCACTAGAATATGAGGATCTTTGAATTTATATTAATAGCAAACATGGGTATGCATATTTGGAAGGCCTTCTCTTTTCAAAACTAAAATAAAACAAAGATAAAAATTTGTGCATCAACCAAAACAGCTCTACCTTTATGTGTTGGCTTTATTAATAAGATTTCATCTGAATAATATTTTTCATCACCAAAATATTTTGGAGATCAGCGTTTAAAAAATAATTGTGTATATTTAAAACACTAATCTATGAAGCATTAAAACTGTCTACTAGTTTATTACGGCTCATCCCTAGGGAGTGTTTGCTTTTTGGATAAAAAACATAAGGCAATACCATTTTTCAATTTTATAATGGGATTATATTCAGTCATTTGATTACTATATAAATATATTCTTGACAGTCAAGACTGTGCAGAGTTATTGATGTTTTTATTCTCATGAATTTTCTATGTAGATTCATTCTTACCATAATGAAAATCTTAGCAAACTTTGGTAACAGGTTCTTCAGTTTGAAACCATTATTGCTATGTGTGTGTTGTCCTTTCCAAATATTTTGTGTGTCTTGGTTCATAGTTCCTTATTTTTATTCAGTATTAAATTTTTAAAAATAATATTAATGCATGAACATGAAAAATAGAGATATTAGATTTTTGGATTTATATTCAGTT